TCTACCCAGGGGGGCAGCTTGAGGCTCTGTCTCAAAAAAAAAAAAAAAAATTCTGACAAAGAGTTATTACTCAGTATTCTTACTTCCTAGAGTTATTTATTCACCAGATCTTTTCTTCTTCCATATGGACATACCTTCCTTTTTAGATGTGGCTCCCAGTAGGTAACAGGATTTTGCCCAAAATACTGTTTTTGGTCTTTCTAGACCAGTTACTTGGTATCCTTCCAGCTTCTATATGTAGTTGGCACTACTTGTTTAAAAGAGCAAACATAAGAAGGTGCTTCTTTTTTTGGAGAAGGGGGATGGGTGTGGAAGTGACCTGGAGAATGCTGTAGAAGCAGTAGTCACTGTGTAGACTTGCCCATTTGTAGATCTGTTGACTCAACCTTCAGACATTTAGGGCCACTCTATGAACATTTAATATCTCCTGCACTAATGTGAAGGAGAGATTTTGTGTCTCTCATGCACTACTGTGTCCTTAGTGCCTGGAATGGTGCTGAGGACAGGATGGGCAGTCAGAAATGTTTGTTGCGTATTTTCTTACATCAGTAGTTCCCAGCCTTTTTGGCACCAAGGACCAGTTTCATGGAAGACAGTTTTTCTAGGTGTGGGGGTGGGGAGTGGTTTCAGGATGGTTCAAGTACATTACATTTCTTGTGCGCTTTGTTATTATTACATTGTAATATATAATGTAACTGACTATAACAGAGAAACAGAGGGAGCCCTGAGCTTGTTTTCCTGCAACTAGATGGTCCTATCCCTGTATCTGCAGCTTCTCCCCAGTGGTAGCATCATTGTCTTAGGCCTTCAGGCATTAGATTGTCATAAGGCACTAGATCCCTCCCATGTGCAGTTTATAGCAGGGTTCGAGCTCCCATAAGAATCTAATGCCACTGCTGATCTGTCAGGAGGTGGAGCTCAGACAGTGATGTGAGCAGTAGGGAGCAGCTGTAAGTACAGATGAAGCTTTGCTCACCCACCTGCTCCTGCTATGCAGCCTGGTTCCTAATAGGCCACAGACTGGTACTGGTTTGTAGCCTGGGGGTTGGGGACCACAGTGTTATCACTCTGCCCAGTGCCGTGTTGGCTTGTGATGCAGTACCTTTAAGTAGTTTATAATTTTTTACATGGAAGAATATATCATATCAGTAATACACAGGAAAAGTATACTAATACTGCTGCATATTAATGCAAATTTTAATCAATATATAAAGTCTGTGAAAGAATAGCCAGGAATGGCTGGCTATAGGAGGGAATGAACTACAGTAGAAGCTTCATAGCTGACCACCTCCTTATTGACCAGTCACCTCAAGTTGACCTAATTTTCAGAGGCTGTACACGCACCACATGCATGTATCAGTACGGTAGGCCTAGTTCCTATGTTGACCACCTGCATATGTCGACCAGTTTCATATAGTCTGTTGGGTAGTCAACTTAAAAAGGTTCTCCTGTAGTTGGGAAATGCCCTTACAAGGGAGTACAAATTAGTTGGGCATATGATAGTAAAAGCCTTCATTAATTTAAGTAATTAGAAATTAATACAACTTGAAAACAAAAATAGTGATGTGCTATTAGTGGATTTATTGTAAGTGTATATGAAACAGGCTCTCTGGAGAGGACAGTTCAGCAAAGTTTATCTAAAGACTAAAACATACATTTCTGCTTCTAAGAATGTAGTTAAAAGAGATAATTAAGGATTTAAACAATTAAACTCAGTTCAATAGCAAGGTAGTGCTTATAATGGAAATAACATGGAAGTTCCATAATAAGAAATAGGTTAAATAGACCACAACTTATCCATATCAGGGAGTACTCTTCAATCTTAAAATATAATATTGTAAAAATAAGTATTTACATGGGAAGATTCTTAACATATTAAGTGAAAATGTGGTATCAAATACTGTTTTTGTTAAAAAGTCCATATAAACGTACGACAAAGCTTAGATACAGACTAACTTACCAACAATAATTCCCTTGGCTATTAGATTTTAGGTCACCACTTTGTTTTTCTTATTCCTTTCTCTCTCTTATTTATTTATTTATTTATTTATTTTTGTGCAGTTTTTGGCCGGGACTGGGTTTGAAACCCACCACCTCTGGTATATGGGGCCAGCGTCCTACTCCTTTGAGCCACAGGTGCTGCCCCTCCTTTCTCATTTTTTTAATGTTATTTTCTGATGATTTTATATCAAGCATTTTATCTTTATGGTAAAGGAATAATATTACTCAAATGATAAGATGTTTAGCTTGATGGTTTTGGTGTAGGAACTAGTTCCCATTGGACAGTTGGAAAGTTGGTAATGTTGGTGTTGCATGATCCTGGATGATCCTCAGGGTACTGATGGTGGGGACACCTGTTCTGTACCCTGTATGGCACTATCTGGTGGTCTGTGCCTGTGTTCTCCCAGGTGCTTAGCAGTAGAGGTCAAACTCAGCAGGGGGTTGCTATTAAGCTTTTGATGCTGTGGAAGCTCAGTGGAATAATTTATGATCATTTTTGGTAAGATCCAAAATTTTGGCAGTAAATAACAGTTGAAAAGTCAAGGGCAAGAGAACTAACTATTTAGAGATGGTGGTCTTGATTTAGCTTTTGAGAATTAAGGCTGGGATCTTGAGCTTCTTTGATTTCCTTATACTTTGCAGGAGCAAAAGAAGAAAGAAGACATGATTGGTGGTAAGAAACTATTTCGACCAGAGGCCTCAGGCTCAAGCCGGGATTCTCTGATGTCTCAGTCCCATACCTCACACAACCTTCACCCTCAGAAGCCTCATTTGCCTGCCTCCCATGGCCCACAGATGCATGGACACCCAAGAGATAACTACAGTCACCCCAATAAGAGACACTTCAGTAATGCAGGTAGGTCATTCAGTGGAATTTTAAAAAGAGGTGCCGAGAACCCATGATCATTTCATTTTCCAAAGATAACAGGTCCTTTATACTTTATTCTCCTGTGACACTTTTTGTCCTCTTTTAATGAGGTAAAGCATGAAATAAAGATCATGACTGCTCTTTTATTTTAACTTCAAAATAAGAGGGACATAACTACTGTAAACAAAAAACGAAATGATAGGCTGAAGGAAAAGTTTATGTTCTATATATGACAGTTAAGTGGTTAAAATAGCTAATATTGAAAGAGCCATTGTAAATTGATAAGAAAAAGAAAACCAAATAGATAAATGAGCAAAAGATAATCATGAGATTGAAGAGACAAGCTATATAGAGGGAGAAAATATTTGTCAATCATCTATCTGATAGAGGTTAACATCTAAAATATATATGAAACTCAGTTCAGTGGCAAGAAAACTAAATTCATAGGTGGGCAAAGGATCTGAATAGACATTTCTAAAAACAAGATGCACAAATGGCCTACAAGTTCATGAAAAAATGCTCAGTACTGCTAATCATCAGGGAAATACAAATTAAAACTAATGAGATATCACCTCTTACTAGAATTTTTTATTATCAAAAAGAGAGAAGGTATGTATTGGTAAGAATGTGAAAAATAGGGAACCCTATTTTCCCTATACACATTATTTGTGGGGATGCAAATTTTTACTGCCTTTATGGAAAACAGTCTGGAGATGCCTCAAAATTGTAAAAACAGAACTACCATACGATCTTGCAGTTCCACTACTGGAAAGGGAAATCAGTATGTCAAAAGATGTGCATTCTCATGTTCATTGCAGCATTGTTCACAATAGCCAAGAGACAGTGCCCATCAACAGATAAGTGGATATGGCCAGGCTTGGTGGCTCAGGCCTATAATCCCAGCACATTGGAAGGCTGAGGTCACAGGATCACTTTAGGGCAGGAATTCAAGACCCGGATGAGTGGATAAAAAATATGTGATGTATATACAAAATGGAATAGTTTACGTTAAGTGAAATAAGCCAGGCACAGAAAGACAAATACTGGGGGTGAAACAAGATCACAGACCAGAAGGATTATTCATCTGAGCTTTCCTAGTACAACTGGGGAAAAAGAGAGAACCCAACCATACCCAGTGAGGAGACCTCACCTGGAGTCATAGCTTAAGGAGCATAGCATGGAGGTGGCAAGGTAGATACAGTGTGTGATTTAGAGCGTGGAAATCTCACTCCTTAGGCAAGTAATTATGACATGTAGGGATCGGCCAGCATCCTCATGGAAATCTGGGATAGGAGAAAGCTTTTCCAGAGTTTTGGTTTTGAGGGAAAGCTGCACGTTGAGTGGAAAGTGTGGAAGAGTGAACAGACTCCAACATTATACAGCAACCAGATTTTAGTACCAGTTGGAGTGGATTTGCCATTGGTGGCTGGTGAGACAGCCATACTGGGAAGGACTTGGAGGCCAGGGGGCTGCCATTGTGGGAAGGTCTTGAGGTCTTAGCAGGGCCTAAACCACAGCTGTCTTTTTTTTTTTTCTTTCTTTTTTTGAGACAGAGCCTCAAGCTATCCCCCTGGGTAGAGTGCCGTGGCTTCACTGCTCACAGCAACCTCCAACTCCTGGGCTCAAGTGAGTCTCCTGCCTCAGCCTCCCAAGTAGCTGGGACCACAGGCACCCGCCACAACGCCTGGCTATTTTTTGGTTGCAGCCATTATTGTTGTTTGGCGGGCCGGGCTGGATTTGAACCCACCACCTTAGGTGTATGTGGCTGGCGCCTTAGCTGCTTGAGCCACAGGCACCGAGCCAACCACAGCTGTCTTAATTCCACCTGCCAGGATCACAACTCCACTCTTGGAACAGGCTGAGGGGCTCCCACCCAGTTCCCAGTTCCACACCATGGGAACTGGTATCTGGGGGTATTATGAGACCTGTCCCTGGAAGATTCTGGAGAGCTTTAAGGTCCCAACCTGGTGGGGTCTTAAGGCTGAGGAAACAATGAGGCAATCACTGAGGGCAACTAAGTTAGGAATAAGAAGCACAGAGGTTGCAAACTGTGTTCTCTGTCTCCTGAAAGAACCACAGTGCCACGGTGCCACCTGCAACATATATGTTCCTATTGAAGTTGGTCCTTTGTGAGATATATATATATATATATATATATATTATATATATATTTTTTAGTATTCTTTTTTTTTTTTTTACAGTTTATATTTTTCTTTTCCCTTCTTTGTTGCTGAGATTGCTACAGTTTTTGGCTATTTGAGCTTTTTTTGTTGTGTTTTGTTTTTGCTAATTTGGTTGGTTCTGTTCTTAACTTCCATTTGTACTTTCATCAAGAGCAAGGCCTTGTGTATTTTTTGTCATGCTCTGAGACAAAGTAATTTGAAGCAAAGGATAAAGCAAGAAGGAAAAAGGAAGACAAGGAGGGGAACAAGAAGAAAGAACACATGAGGAGGAACCAATAGAAAAATTTGAACAACATGAAAAACCAGAGCAGCAACTTCCCCAAGGGACCATGAAGCAGCTACTGCAGAAGACTCCACCTATAAAGAATTAATGGATTGACAGACAGGGAATTTAAAATAAGGATGATGAAGACAATAAAAGGAATGGATAAGAAAATGGGAAGACAACCAAAAGTTGGATGAGAGATGTGTAGAATAGAGAAAGGATATGGCAGAGCTTAAGAAAATGAAGGAGATAATCAAGGAATGTAAAGATGCAGTGGAAAATATCAAAAATAGGTTGGACCATGTAGAAGAAAGGACCTCAGAGCTAGAGGATAAAGTTTTCAAGTTAACCCAGGTAATCAAAGAGGCAGAAAAGAAGAAAGAGAACTGTCAAGCATTCAAACATACGAATAATAGGGATCTCTGAAGGGGAAGAAGATTGTCCCAAAGAAATGGCAGCCCTACTGGGGACTATCATAAATGGAAACTTCCATGAAACTTCTGAAATTTTACTAAAGATCCAACACACTGCTTTCAAATGGATATCAAACCCTAGGTCATGTCAGTTCAGAGCTGCTTCAAGACACATTGTAATGAAACTATCCAAAGTGAAGATGAAAGAAAAAAATTCTGCAAGCAGCCAGGAGTAAGTGCCAACTGACCTACAAGAGGCAGAGCCATTAGGATGAAAGCAAACTTTTCACCCGAAACCTTCCAAGCCAGAATAGGATGATTATCCACCTTCATTCTGAAACAAAACAGTTTTCAGCCCAGAATTCTGTATCTTGTTAAACTAAGCTTCAAAATTGATGGAGAAATCAAATCTTTTGCAGATACAGAAACACTTAGAAAATTTGCCATACCAAGACAGGCCCTACATGAAATACTTAGACATGTTCACAACACCAACCATCACAGTGCACCACCACCTAAGTAAATTCCCAAAACCTAAAGGTCAAAACTTAGCTTCCGCAGTGGCATGCAGGATAAAACTACATAATGGACTTTAACAAAATAAGATGAATAGAACTTCACCACACATCAGTTCTCTCAATAAATGTCAATGGATTGAATTTACCACTGAAGTGACACAGGCTGGCTGATTCAATAAAAAAGCACGAGCTATCCTTATGTTGTCTATAGGAAACACACCTACCCTTGAAGGACAAATCAAGACTACTCAGGGTTAAGGGATGAAAAACTATTTCAGGCAAATGGAAATCAGAAGAAAGGAGGGGGGTTGCAATCTTATTTTCAGATACAAGTGGATTTAAAGCAACTAAAGTTAAAAAAGACAGACACTTTATACTGATAAAAGAAACAATACAACCAGAAGACATTTCAATTTTAAATATTTATGCACCCAACTTAAATGCACCCAGACTTATGAAACAGACCTTGATGGGTCTGAGCAAATAACACCATAATATCCAGGGACTTTAACACCCCTCTGACACAACTGGACAGATCCTCTAGAACCCCAGTGGTTCTCAGCCTTCCTAATGTCGTGGCCCTTTAATACAGTTCATGTGGGTTACAACCCACAGGTTGAGAACCACTGCTCTAAACAGAAACTAAACAAATATACAACAGACTTAAATGTGACCCTAGAACAAATGGGATTGATAGACATATACAGAACACAACATCCCAAAGCTAAAGAATATACACTTTTCTCGTCAGCCCATGGTACATATTCCCAAATAGATTACATCCTAGGATATAAATCAAACCTTAGCAAAATTAAAAGAATAGAAAATGTACTTTGTATCTTCTCATACCACAAGGCAATAAGGGTGGAACTCAAGTCCAACAAAAACATTCATCTGCATACAAAGGTATGGAAATTAAACAACCTTATGCTGAATGATAGTTGGGTTCAGGAAGAGATAAAAGAAGAAATTGTTAAATTCCTCAATTTAGCAATGAGGACACAAATCACCAAAACCTGTGGGATACAGCAAAAGCACTCTTAAGAGGGAAATTTATTGCCTATATTTGAAAAATAGAAAGAGAGTGCATCAACAAACTAATGAACCATCTTATGGTAAAGAAAGAACAATCTAATCCCAAACCCAGCAGAGGAAAAGAAATAACCAAATTGAATCAGAGATTAATGAAATTGAAAACAAGAATCATTCAGAAAATTAGTGCAACAAAAGGTTGGTTTTTTGAAAAAATAAAAGTGATAGTACTTTGGCCAGATTAACTAAAAACAGAAAAATAAAATTTCTAATAATCTCAATCAGAAATGATAAAGGGGAAGTAACAATAGATGCCGCAGAGATACAAGAGATCATCTCTTAGTACTAAAAGAAATTCTATGCCCAGAAGTTTGACAATGTGGAGGAAATGGATCAATGTACCCTCTCCCTAGACTGAACCAAGAAGAAATAGATCTCTTAAACAGACCAGTTTAAAAATCTGAGATTGAAGAAACAATAACAAGTTTCCCAACAAAAAATGCCCTGGTCCAGATAGCTTCACACCAGAATTCTATAAAACCTTCAAATAAGAGCTTATACCTGCCCTGAAGAAATTATTCCAAAAAATTGACAGGAGTCTTCCCTAACATAGTCTATGAAGCAAACATCACCGCAATACCAAAACCAGGAAAAGACCCAACAAAAAAGAAAAGCTTCAGACCAGTTTCAGTAATGAATATAGATGCAAAAATTCTCAATAAAATCCTAGTCAATAGATTACAGCTACGCATTAAAAAAATCTTTCATCACAATCAAGTAGGTTTCATCCCAGGGATGGAAGGCTGGTTTAACATACGCAAGTCTATAAACATAATCCTTCATATCAACAGAAGCAAAAACAAAGACCATATGATCCTCTCAATAGATGCAGAAAAACATTCAATAAAATTTAGCATCCTTTTCTAATTAGAACACTGAAGAATATAGGTATAGGTGGCAACATTTCTGAAACTGATTGAAGCCATGTACAACAAAGCCACAGATAATATACTGAATGGAGTAAAACTAAAAGCTTTCCATCTAGAACTGGAACCAGACAAGATTGACCTCTGTCACCCCTACTATTCCACATAATGCTAGAAGTTCTAGCCAGTACAGTGAGGCGAGAGAAGGAAGTATAGAGCATCCAAATGGGGGCAGAAGAGGTCAAACTTTCCCTCTTTGCTGATGACATGATCTTAGAGAACCATGTAGACTCAACCACAAGACTCCTGGAGGTGATCAAAAAATACAGCAATGTCTCATGATATAAAATAGTGTACATAAATTAATACAGCCTTTGTATATGCTAGTAACAGCCAAGATGAGAAGCTAATCAAGGACATAGTTCCCTTCACAAGTAGCTCCAAGAAAAATGAAACACTAGGAACTCTATATGAAAATTACAAAACCTTTAGAAAAGAATTAGCAAAAGATATTAAATAAAAGAACATACCATGGTCATGTATGGGAAGAATCCACAATGTCAAAATGTCTATACTTCCCAAAGCAATCTACAGATTCAGTACAATCCCCATTAAAATACCATCCTCATACTTTCAAGATTTGGAAAAAATAATTCTTCATTTTTTTTTTCTTTTTGAGACAGTCTCACTCTTGGTAGAGTGCTGTGACATCACAACTCACAGCAACCTCAAACTCCTGGGCTTAAGCCATTCTCTTGCCTCAGCCTCCCAAGTAGCTGGGCTCCTGCCATAATGCCTGGCTATTTTTTTGTTGCAGTTGTGGTGGTTCAGCTGGCCTGGGCTGGGTTCGAACCCACCACTCTGGGTGCATGTGGCCCGTGCCATAGCCACTGTGGTATGGGTGCCAAGCCAATAATTCTTCATTTGTATGGAACCAGAAAAAAACCCATATAGCCAAGTCAGTTCGTAGTAATAACAAAACTGGAGGTATCACCCTATCAGACTTTAGGCTATACTATAAAGCCATAGTGATCAAAACAGCATTGTACTGGCACAAAAATAGAGACATTGACATATGGAACCAAATGGAAAACCATGATATGAAACTAACATATTACAGCCAACTGATCTTTAATAAACTAAACAAGACCATATACTTGGGGAAAGAATTCCCTATTCTAGTGTTGGGGGAACTAGATAACCACATGTAAACAGCTAAAACTGGACCTTCACCTCTCACCACTTACAAAACTTGATTCAAGATGAATAAAAGATTTAAATCTAAGGATGAAACAATAAAAATCCTCGAAGAAAGTGTAGGGAAAGGCTGGGCGCAGTAGCTCATGCCTATAAATCCCAGCACTTGGAAGGCTGAGGCGGGTGAATTGCCTGAGCTCAGGAGTTTGAGACCAGCCTCAGCAAAAGCAAGACCCCTGTCTCTAAAAAATAGTCAGGTGTTGTGGCAGGTGCTTGTGGTCCCATGGGAGGCTGAGGCAAGAGAATCCTTAAACCCAAGAGTTTGAGGTTGCTGTAAGCTGCAATACCACGCAATGACTGAATCAGACTCTGTCTCAAAAAAAAAGTATGGGGAAAACACTTCAAGATACCAGTCTGGGGAAAGATTGAATGAAGAAGACTTTTATGGCAGTTGCAACAACAATAAAAATAAATGGGACTTAATTAAACTGAAAAGCTTCTGTACTGCTAAGGAAAAACAACCAAAGTAAATAGACAACCATCAGAATGGGAAAAGATATTTGCATAATATGAATTGAATAAAAGCTTGGTAACTATGATCTATAGAGAACTCAAATTAACAAAGACCCAACAATCCCATGTATCACTGGGCAAGAGAAATAAATAGAATCTTCTCTATCTAACAAAGAAAGATGAATGGCTAACAAACATATGAAAAAATGCTCATTGTTCCTAATCATCAGAGAAATGCAAATCAAAATGTGCTTATGATAGATAAAATGATTTTTTTTCTTCTGGGTAGATACCTAGTAGGTGATACCTCAGATACCTGAGTTACCTGAGATATCACCTAACCCCAGTGAGAATGGCCCATATCATAAAAGTCTCAAAGCTGCAGATGCTGATGTGAATGTGGAGAGAAGGGAACACTTTTACATTGCTGGTGGGACTGCAAACTAATACAACCCTTTTGAAAGGAAGTATGGAAAATCCTCAAAGAACTCTAATATTAGACCTCCCATTTGATCCTGTAAACCTATTACTAGGTATCTACCCAGAAGAAAAAAAATCATTTTATCTATCATAAGTAGATTTGCACTAGACTGTTTATTGCAGCTCAATTACAATCACCAAAATGTGGAAACAACCTAAATGCCCACCAACCAGGAATGGATTAACAAGCTATCGTATATGGTATATGTATACCATGGAATACTATTCAGCCATTAAAAAAGATGGAAAGTTTACATCTTAACCTATATTGAGTTGGAACACATTCTTCTGAGTAAAGCATCACAAGAATCCAGTGTACTTATGTGTATTTTAATATGAAGGCAGTAGATGAGATAATACAAGGGGTAGGCTAGGGAATGAGGGATCAGGGAGAGGGGAAGAGGGAGGAACATGGCAGGGTCACCATGTATGGCACACCTCTTGGAGACAGGACTCAATTATAAGTGGAACTTTATCTAACTAATGCAATCAGTGTAACCTAATTCTCTATACCCTCGGTCAGTCCCACGCAGTAAAAAAGAAAAAGACAAATACTATGTGTGAAATTTAAAAAGTTGAACTCCTGTTAAGTAGAGAGTAGAAAAATAATTACCAGCGCCCACAGGGCTCAATTTAGCCATTCTATACATTTTTGAAACATTGTGTTATACAGTTTTTATTTGTCACTTTAAAAATGTTTTAGATTACAATCTTGAAAGCTCAAAAAAAGGAATGCAGAGCAATTAAAATTTTGGGAAGTTGGTCAGGTGTACTGACTCATGCCTATAATCTCAGCACTTGGGAGGCTGAGGCTAGGAGTTTAGTACCCTTTCTCTATTAAAAAAATAATAATAATAGAAATTAGCTGGGTGTAGTGGCACATGCCTATAGTCTCAGCTACATGGAAGGGTTGCTTGAGCGCAGGAGTTATAGATTACATTGCATTGGAGAGAGACCCTGTCTTAAATACAAAGAAAATAATACAAATACAAAGAAATAAGTATTTGTATTATTACATAGAAATAAAATAAAAATTTGGAAATTTGACCAGGGAAAAAGTAAAAAACTCTGCAGAGCTTAAATGGTATACTAGAAAACTAGGCAAAAGTAAATAAAGCATAAGGAATCGCATATAGAAGAGAAAATTCAAATGTCTACTATGACTGGGCTTACTAATAGGGAAATAGAAATTAAAGCAACAGTAAGTTGACCAATATTTTTGCCCATGTAGATCAGCAAAAATTGAAAGTAGAAATGCACATCAATTGCTAAGACTGTGCAATCTTTTTGGAAGATAATTTGAAATACCCACATATATAGGCCTTTTGACTATTAATCCTTTTGGGAGTGTCTTTTCTATAGAAAGGAAAACACATACGTATATGAGGATGCTCTTTTAGCCTTAATACCAAACAGCTGGAAACAACTTGTGTATCTTTAAATAGGAAATCGGTTAAATGAATAATAGGGCATTTGTACTCAGTAGTATTGTCAGGAATAAAAAGAATGAGCTTACGTTTTAGATTTTTTTTTTTTTTTTAAGAGACAGAGTCTCATTTTATCGCCCTGGTAGAGTATTGTGGTGTCACACGGCTCACAGCAACCTCCAACTCCTGGGCTGAGGCAATTCTCCTGCCTTAGCCTCCCAAGTAGCTGGGACCACAGGCACCTGCCACAACACCCGGCTATTTTTTTGTTGTTGCAGTTTGGCCAGGGCCAGGTTTGAACCCACCACCCTCAGTATATGGGGTTGGTGCCCTACCCCCTGAGCTACAGGCACCGTCTCGTTTTAGATTTTTTTAAAAGTAGAGAAAAATTAGCAGCAACAACAAACCATATGCACCTGTGCTTTCAGATTTATCAAGGTAAAATCCACATAACATGCACGTAACCATCTGTAAGTGAAAGGTTCAGTGACATTCAGTATAGCCACAGTGTTGTGTAGCCATTGCTTTTGTGTAGTTTCAAAACTTCTCCATCACGGCAAGTGGAAATCCTGTGCCCATGAAGCAGGTTCTTTGCATTCCTCCTTTCTCTCATCCCATTTTCTAGTTTACTGTTTGGTTTTGGTTCTTTGAGTGAAATGCCATTTTAGAAACTGGAAGATGAAAAGCAGTTCTTATGCTTTGAGGAGGTGAGACGCAGTGAATTTTCTTTTGCCTTAAAATTTTAGGAGAAAGAATGTGAGGGCTATCTAATGGTAACTAGCAGTAGCAAGGCCAAGAAAGAGGAAATTGAATATTTATTTTGTAATGCGTGTCACATTTCAGTTTAAACTTCAGTGAAATTTAGCCATTTCTTGGAGTCATCAGGTCATTCTTTCCTTGCAGATCGAGGAGATTGGCAAAGGGAAAGAAAGTTCAACTATGGTGGTGGCAACAACAATCCACCATGGGGCAGTGACAGGCACCATCAGTATGAGCAGCACTGGTACAAGGACCACCATTATGGGGACCGGCGACACATGGATGCCCACCGTTCTGGAAGCTATCGACCCAACAACCTGTCCAGAAAGAGACCTTACGACCAGTACAGCAGTGATCGAGACCACCGGGGACACAGAGATTACTATGACAGGTGTGCAAAAGGCTGTGAGACAGCAGGCAGTGAACTCTAGCAAGAGCTAACTGGTGACTGGGCACAGTGGCTCACTCCTGTAATCCTAGCACTCTGGGAGGCTGAGGCGGGTCCATTGCCTGACCTCATGGGTTCGTGACCAGCCTGAGCAAGAGTGTGACCCTGTCTCTAAAAATAGCCAGGCGCCTGTAATCCCAGGCCCTTGAGAGGCTGAGGCAAGAAAATTTCCTGAGCCCAAGAGTTGGAGGTTAATGTGAGCTATGACGCCATGGCACCCCACCAAGGGCAACAAATTAGATTCTGTCTCAAAAAAAAAAAAAGAGCTGACTGTTCATACAGAAGAGACAGTGACAGATACATGAAGGTATTTATCCGTCAGATGCTTACTGAATATCTCCTTGTGTGTCAGCCATGGTCCCAAGACTTGAATGCCAGGTTATAGGTTTTAGGTTTTGTACATTTCACCTATGCAGGAAAAGAGTTTTTTGCTATCTTTTGAGGAAATCTAGTGAAGTTGTAGATTTATAAAATATTAAAGTTAACAGCCAAAACATGTTCCGTGCTAGGCTGTCAGCCACTCTAGGTGGCAGGAATCCTAAGATGGATACCAGTCCATGGTTCTTCCCCCCCCCCCAATAACAATAATTCGAGTCAGAGCCTTTTGACGATGTATCCTATTGACAACTATACAGAGTACCACCAGTGATAGGATGAGCCAAGGTTTTAGATTATGAGAGTAGGCAAGTAAAGGAAAGGCTAAAGAGGTTTTACCTTTATTTCCTAATTTTAGGACTTGGCCATATTTTAACCTCAGAGCAGCTTTGGTTTTCCCTGGACTAATGACATGCTTTGTTGATACTGCACCTTGAATTCAAAGTGGGAAAATTTCATTTATCCATCTTCATGTCATGCTTTCTTTTTGAAAGATGGGGTTGGTAAGCAGCAGGCTGTGGTAGCAGAGGGGCTGTAGCCGTAGCAGCCATTTCCTTAGGAGATTGTCCCGCATTCTCACCTTTCTATATTGTCTCCGTTTGGATCCTGTGGTCACTTGCCCTGCGTTTCTTTTGTAGATTGTATTTCTAAGTGCTATCATTTTTCTTCTGCCTGAAGGACTTTTCTTCAGTGTGGGTGATAAATTCAGTGCTGCTGATGAATTTTTTCAGCACCTGCATGTATGTCTGGAAAAGTCTTTATGTTGCCTTCATTTTTGTAAGGTACTTTTGCTAGGTATAAACTTCTTGATTGACGGTTTCTTTCAGAACTTTATGATATACCGCCACCCTCTTCTTCCATTATCGCTGATTATGTTGTTCCTTGGCATATTTTTCTCATGTTTCTTGTGCTTGGGAATTACTGAGCTTCTTGGATCTGTACGTTTATCATTTTAATAAAATTTAGAAATTTTTACAATATTCTTCAAATATTTTTTCTGTCCCCTACTCTCTCGTCCTTTGGGAATTCCAGTTACACCCATATTAGCTGCTCGAGGGTCTCGAGCTCACTCATGTTCTTTTCTTTTTATTTTATTTTTCTTTAAGATTAGAAGTATTTTAATTATTTTTTTAAAATTTATTGTTTCAGGTTCTGTTCATTTTCAAAAATTATGTTTTGTCTCTTATTTTGGGTAGTCTTCTATTGCTGTCTTCAAGTTGACTGATGATTTTCCTGTTTAATGACTAATCTGCTGCGAGGCCTATCTAGTATATTTTTCATTTCATACATTATAGTTTTATTGCTAAGAGTTCTAAAAGTTGTATTTGGGTCTGTTTTTAAAAATCTATGTCTCAGTTCGGCGCCTATGGCTCAGGTGGCTAAGGCACCAGCCACATACACCTAAGGTGGTGGGTTCTAATCCAGCCCAAGCCTGCCAAAAAACAACAATGATGGCTGCAGCCAAAAAATAGCCGGGCGTTGTGGTGGGCGCCTGTGGTCCCAGCTACTTGGGAGACTGAGGCAGGAGACTCAACTTGAGCCCAGGAGTTGGAGGTTGCTGTGAGCTGTGATGCCACAGCACTCTACCCAGGGGGATAGCTTGAGGCTCTGTCTCAAAAAAAAAAAAA